CGTACAAAGGCATGAACGGCACAATTCACCCTCTCAAAAAACGGACAATAATGCTGCACCCCCACAGTTCAAGGCTAGCAGGTCGTCACTTCGCGATCATCTCCACACAAAGCTTTCGGGAGGCAGGCTAGTCCAAGCCACTGTCACCGCATGCTGGATGCTCAGATCGTTCGGAAAGACAGCTCCGATGCGGAGAAGGCCGGGGGAAGGTTCAGATTACACGGCCCCGACCCTACCGAAGCCGGTGCAGCCAGGCCGAATCCAGCTTGATATCGGAAGACGTCCTGACACAGCGTCCGGGCCCAAGCCAGGGATGTTCTGTAGCGGGCTTCAGGCTTCCCCAAGCTCTGCCAGGCTTTCATCAGCTCTGGAACAACTGCGTGGGTGCGCTGCGGACCGCTCTTGTGTTGGAGGGTGCCCTGCATGCTGAAAATGTCTGGAGGCGAGAGCCTCATGCTGGCAGTACCTCCGGACAGTCCCTCTGCTCGGAGTCGAAAGCGTCTGCAGATGGATTGATCCAGACGAAGTAGAGCCAAGGTGATCCTGCTCCAGGCCACGAGAAGGCAGGAGCCTTGTCTACCGGTTGCTTGCAGACCCTCCCGCATCAACGAAAGGAGAAAGCTGAACGAGCAGAGCGTCGCAAAGAGCAGGACCACATGTCCTTCAGTTGTTGAAAGGTCTGCTATGACGTCCTGTGAGCTGTTTCATTTCGTGCGCTGCAGATCCATGGCTGAGTCTTGAGCAGTTTTGGGCAGGAGATTCTCGCCACCCAGCGCATGAAGCAGGCCAGCAGCTGCCAGCACGTTGCTTGGAGTTCCGGAGATAAGGGCGGCTGGTGTCCCCGCTGGCCGCATCATTTCTCCTTTCACGTGCTCACTCTCTCGAGTGACTTTCTCTGAGCTTCGTGCATATTTCTGAGGGTTCAAATCACTGCAACCCTAAACCCTAAACCACAAACCACAAACCCTAGTTACTAGTTACTAGACCGTCAGCGTGCCCAGCATCTTTTCTGCACCTGTTCTCAGGGTGAGTGCAGGGCTCCGTCTGCTGGGTTTAGGATTTAGGGTTTAGGACTTGGGGTTTAGGAGTTAGGGTTTAGGATTTAGGATTTAGAGTTTAGGGTTTTGGGCTTACGGAAACCCGGGAGTGGAGGCCTGCCTCGCGCGCTTCGTCTCGATCGGGCAGGAGCTCGCGCGGCAGGTGAGGGCCCCCGGTGCTTCCAAAACGCGCTCTGAGGGACACGTCATACTGTGTAGGGTTTAGGGATTATGGGGTTTGGGGATTTGGGGTTTAGGGTGTAGGGTTTAGGGTCTAGGATTTGTTGGTTGAGACATTGTGTTGATGATGAGGGAGATGATTCATGAGAAGGATGAAGGGAAGCAGCCTGTCTGATAGTTTTGTTTCGTGGTGGGCGCAGTGGTTACCGTCCTTATCCTTGTTGATTTGGCAGTCATCGTCAAGGCCCTTCTCCCCCAGGGCCCTAAGTCCTCTCCTCACCATGGTGACACTTGCGAACTACGCCGCGAAGCAGATCCCCGACCACCTAACTGAGGCTCTACTCCCTCCTTAAGGCCGCTGGCAGGGTTCCGGGTCCTTAAAGGCCTTCCAAGCCTCAGAAGCAGCAGATCCCTGAAAGCCGGAGGACCCCGAGGCCCAGAATCCCCCTAAGCCCTCGGATCTCTACAACTTCTTCTTCAAAAAAGGCCCCCCCAACAGTATCCACCAGAGCCGCTGAAACCCGAAGCATCCCCTAAACAGCCCTAGACAAACCGTGGAAGCTCCAGTTCCCGAAGAAGTGCATCCGAGCAGTGGAGATCCTGATGGGGAGCGTCTTTTTCTCCCGGCGCCACACGGGGGGGGGGGGGTTGCTTCGTGAGAGCCGTTGCTTTCGTCCGGCAAGCTGCAAGCTGCTGCGTCGTCTGTCACGTTGCCCCGAGCGGTGAGCCCCCTTTGGCCACTCATTGCCGTGATCATCGAGGCAGGTCTATCTTTCCAATCACGATCCCAGAGCGAGGTAAATGCAGAGCACAGTAGCGGTGAGGTGACCCGACGGCAGTACGAATCCATCTTCCCGAACATCAGTGACGTCCTGGCGGTGAGCTGGAAGCCTGGAGATTCTGCTCGAACGGAGTCGTAGCGCGAGAGCACACCGACAGGTTTCCAATCTCTAACTTTGGAACTTCAACGCCGGTTGCCTTCCACGGATTCTACCCGCCCCAGCTTGTTCTGAGCTAGGATTCTTGTCTAGGCCTCGTATTTCAAGAGCAACGCCTGCTCAAACGGGTACCTCATGCTGAACCTCATAGGGTCTTCATGCAAAACAGCGCCGGTTGCCATTGCCTTCAAAGCCTTGCATCCAACGCGGCTGAGGCTTGACGACACTCCGGTCGGGACAGGCCTTGACCTTCGCACTCCGAACTTGTTAAAGGCCAAGTGGAGATTGAGGCAACGATCTTGTCAATGGGCTTCCATCATGCTCTTGGCTAGTTCTGTCTGATGGTCGCTCTTCAATTTCCTGCTGCCTGAATGGATTTCTGTGCTTCGGCTGCAGGTGGTGATCGTGCGCTACAGGCTCGCAGGAGCAGCGGCCTCGGCCGTTTCAAGAGGGGCTCTTCCGCGTCGTTGGAGCCTCTGTCTGGCTCTGCATTCCCCTTCGTTGAGCCTCGACTCTCCACATTCTTCCGGATCATGGTCCATTTAGCCTCCATGCCCAATGTCCCGAGGCTTGCAATTTCTGGCACCCGAAGCACCGTGTGCTGCGAGACGAGAGGGAACCGCTCCCCTGGCCCGTGCCACAGAAGGCGCGATTTCGGGGGGGGGGGGGAGTTTTCCGGCCTCCCGTGGCAGCCTAGCAAAACTTGTGACTCTTCGTTTTTCCTGGATTCCTTTTTGGGACGTTCTGAGTTTTCATGTCGGCTTTGGGGTTGCCAGGGTTTGGCTGCGATGCTTCGGCGTCGCCTTGCATGTCGTCGGCTCGCAGCTTCGTTGATCGAAAGGCGCAGTGTGAGACCGTTACTGCAAGATGCAGATGTTGCGAAAAAACATGCGCTGAAACGAGTTCATGCTCAAGTGATCGCAATTGTTGTGTTTATGTGACGGAGGTTCGAGGTGATGATGACCGAAGGTATGGCTGTCATTCGTCACTGCTACTGTTCACTGACAAGACAAGCCGTAGCTGACAGCACGGCTTTTGGATCGGCCAAAGTAGACCGGTTGGGATCATGGGTTGCCAGGGGCTCAGCCACGGAAACATGTGCGCTGCACAATGCCTGAGGTTTCACTGCATTCGAGCTGAGGTAACACCATTTGTGGTTATGACTGCGATGCTGCTTCGCCTGCATTGGGTGGTTACCTGCATACAGAGGAGAGACGGCGCTGGACATGTACATCAGCAAGACATGGTGCGCCGAGGATGTTTTTGTTTATGATGCTCAGAAGACCATCAGAATTCGCGATGCGCGGTTGGGGCTTCTGCAGTATGTGTCTCGGCTGCTGGGGTTCCCATTTTTTTTTGCATCCGGGAGGGCTGTTGTTGTCGATCCACAACCAAGGGCATGATGTTTGTTATCGCCGCTCAATCGCATTTGGATTGTGGGTTCGTTATCTGAAAAAGCAAGAAGGGGGCGTGCGGCGACTGCTAACAGACCGTGTACATCGTGGTCTGGCAGCTTCTGCGCGGCAACAGCTACTTGAAGTACAGGCAGGTTTGCTCTGCATAAGGCTCTTGCGAGCATGTAACGGCGTGGATTTTCTACTAGAGTTACGGGTTACTAGAGACACCTGCATCATGTACGCCACCAGCATGAACATCGCAAGGCCCTCGCTGACAATCCTGCCGAAAACGGTGATCAGCAGCAACAACTAGTAAGCCCACAGTTGGAAACACTACGACCAGAAGCAATATCGTTGTCCTCAACGCCCTCAGCATCGTGCTCGTCAGCACGTCATCGTCGTCGCCGTCCTCGGCGTTGTCGTCGTCGTCGTCGTCGTTGTCGTCGTTGTATGCGTCGTCGTTGCAGGCGTCGTCGCGATCGTTGTCGTGACCGTGGGTGGCTGTTGCGACCAACTGGAGCAGGCGGCAGCAGGCGCGGGATCGTCGTGCGAAAGCGCGCGCAGGTCTCCAGTCGTTACGACACGGATGACCCTGCAACAGCCGACTTTCGGAAGTTGTAACCCCAACGACGCCTCGTGCCAGGGGCCCAGTTTTCAGCTGCTTTCGCAGATTTCTGCATAAGTGTGGTGCTCGTAGAGCTGGCGATGATCGGAAATGATCGATTTTGACGTGCGAGGTCGGGACGACTTCCGCAAAGTGTCGGACTTGTCTTACTGCTGCACGGACGGCTGCCAATACAAGGCAGGGAGTGGCACGGAGTGGCAGTGCTGCGTTTGAAAATGACCGGCAAACTGTGAGGCAGACAACTCCTCATGCAGCTGCCCGTGGCGCAACTTCACCAACTACCGGTGCCTGCGCGCCATGGTTTAGGGTTTGGGTCTAAAGCCAATGTCTCGAATCAAGGAGCCGTTTGCATCCAAGGTGCCAGCATCGCGGCTGCAGCGGCATTGTGGTGTTGCATGTGTCTTGAGTCCTAGAGACACTAGCGGATGGATTTCTGTGCCACTGTTCATGTTGCTTGGCCGTTTCCGTCGATTACCGCCATGGGGTCCTGTCCTAAACTCCTCAACCTGGAGGTTTTCGAGTCCACAGAGGGCGACAGCTGAGGTACGTTGATGGAGTCGGCGGCACCCAGACTTATCCTGACAACATCGTGCCTTGACGCAGATGTCCACGAAAGCAGCCTTTTTCGGGTCATTGCTGTTCCAATTCTTTTCGCATCGCTTCCAAAGGTCATCAACACTTTCAGGCACGAGTACATCCAGGAGTTCTGGGTTCTTAGCGGCTTTGCAGCTTAAAAAGTGCCGGTCTTGCCAAAATGTAGGAGCAATTTTTGGAGACTTTGCAGCACCTTTTGGGCCTCCCGACACGGGCGCTTCTTCTGAAGGATCGCAACGCGTCCTGCGGCCAAGATGGCTGCAGCAAGCTCTGGATCACCAGTGGCGTAGAGAGTAGGCGGGGGGACTTGACAGTTTAGAGGGGCATGGAGGATCTGTGGACCACGTCCCCCGAAGACCCATTTTTCAAGCCTTGGCTTGCAAAGGCAAGGCGTCAGAAAAACTGATTGAGCGCGTTGCTTGCAGGTTCATGGCAGACATCGAGGCTCGGGGCAGCTGGAGTCAGCAGGGGGTTCTACCAGCAGTATAAATGGCCATGATCCTGGCAGTGTTTCGTCGTCGTGCTCATCTTCGGCATACAGTTCCCGTAAAAGCCCAGCAGGAGCAGGAGTAGTGGTCCAGTGGTGGTGGTGCTGGTAGCAGTTGGTTGTGCTGGTACGAGGGTTTGTGGTGGGCGTCGTCGTCGACGTTTTGGTCGTTGCCGCAGCCGACGGGGTCGTCGCCACTGCCGCGGTCGTCGCGTTCGTTGTCTTCGTCGTTGTCGGTCGATCTCGTGGTCATGGTCGTCCTCGTTCTCTGGGTGATCGTCGTAGCGGCAGTGCGACGATGAAGAGGAGCAGGAGGAGGGATATGAGGTCGAGTCGTGGAGCAGGATGGATGTGGGGAGGTGGAGGAGGAGGAAAGCCAGGCCAGGCTTCGTCGGAGTTTTCTGCAATCCTCTCCTGGGAGGATTTCACGGTCCTGGTGGCTCATGCCCTTCAGAGCGAGGAGCGAGCGGACCATGACTTCCGAAAGGTGCTTCCCGGCTGTTCTGGGCTCTTCATCGCAGGAGCTTGAAATCAAAAAGACCAGCCGTGCGGGAACCAAGTTCACGGCGTCCTATTCTGCGGTCGACGCCAAAGCACACCGGATCTCTATCGTGCAGGCGAGATGCCGGGCTGGCTCCTGGTGAACGGGAGCAGTGAGCTCCAGCAACCGCCTTGGCATGGACATCAGCAGTTTTCTATAGTTTACAGTTTCCCCGCTTGAAACCAAGATGGGCTTGAGGCACCAGCTGTGTCGCAGCACGAACACGTCGATGACGGAGCCCATCTATGGCTCCCGGACGGACAAGGCCGAACATCAAAAGCCTCGCTGAGCCTGTTGAGACTTCTACCGACCGAGGCGCCTTGCTACATCAAGCCGAACAACACGGCAAAGGCGCCGACCAAGGGTTGATGGCTGAAGCCGAACAACCTCAAGAAAAAACCCCGTTTTGTCGCGCGCTCACATGATTTGGAAACTTGCACCTAGATCTCTACATCCTCGCGGCATGTGATTGCACCGCATGCCTCGTGTCGAAGCAGAGGACGGCCTGGACTTCTTCAATGTGCGCACCTTGATGATGGCCACTGGGCACCGTTCTTGAGCCCTGAGCCTCCAGCGCCCTTTAAGTAATGACCCGACGATCTTGCCCAAAGCTCGGCTAGGACGCAGCAAGCTCGGGATGCATCGCGATCCAGTCTACGAAACCCTAGGGCCCTAGGGTTAAGGGCCTTAAGGGTTTAGGGTAAAGCCCAAACCTCCGCAGCCTAATCTCAAAGTTCGAAGCTTCACACTGG